GTGTACGTGGTAGAGCAGCTATGCTAACTATGCATAGCTGCAGGACGAATGGGTCACGTCGACTCAAAGAGTAAATAAGTAATGAAGATAACATGATAACCTTTTAAATGGTGACGAGTCACTCCATTGTAGTCGTCATGGGTAAAAACGCATCTGCATTTTGATTCTTTATCGATGGTAGATGTAAATATATTTTTTGTTTTATGTAGTGTTTTTGCGTTCAATAAATATTATTATTATCATTGAATATCCATGAACTATAGCATCTACTTATCATCAGGTGGGCTACGTACTCGTTTGTTACTCTTATTTTATAAAAAAAAACTTGTTGGAGATACTTCAAGACCACCACTGATGTACGTACTCGTTACGCAGAAATGATCATTCCTCAAAGTCTAACTACAGCATTTATATATGTTAATTGAAGGTGACGTCTAAATTCCTTTAACGGAAATGTAACTTTAAAGAAATTTAGAATGTACTTCATCCAATATTTTCTCCAATTTATACTTGCATTTTTTATACATGGTAGAGCCATGCAACTTTATTATGATTTTAAGCGCTAAAGGGTCGGTTCAACCGGGGTAAGACCCACGCTCTCACTGAATATCAGCGTAAAATAGCAGCCTAATGCTGCTGTGTTTCGTATGGTGAGTGTAGATAAACAAAAACACTTCTCACTGGAAACGCGGCATTCCATTTTAGTCCTCTGGGGTGACAAAGTATCTACATTTTGATTCTAATCAAGCATGGAAGGTAGATGTCTAGGGGAAATAGTTTCCACTTACCATCACGTGACGAGACTATTACTCGTTCGTTACCATAACTTCATAAAAATTATTTGGAGAATATAATACTTAACTAGTTGATAAAACTATTAAATAGTACAGACTTGGAAAGTTTAATTTGCGTGATGTGGAAGCCCAGACAGTTTAATGGAATTGATTTGTGTCACGCATGCACTTAATGTTTCTTACGTACGTACTCTTAAACTTAACTCTCATGTTTATGATATTTAAAAAAAATATATAATCTGAATATTGCCCATGTTTGTCCATTTACAGTGTTTGTTAAACAAATCATATGTGTTATATATCTTTTACATTTTTTTTAATTTGTTTTAATACTGCAATTATCATCATCATTTCTGTCTATCAAAGTCCACTGGTAAACATGCCTTCGCATAGATTACTTCATACGGGGAACATTTGCAGTAGTTAACAGGCATGACAGGCGGGTTGCTAATCGCAGTTTCTTTTTTTTAAGTTATTTTGTAGACGCTGCTGCCTATTTTCTCATGTGTTATGACATACACGGGACGATTTGGGGTAGTGTATATACTTACACCGCCACTACACGGTCGATCAATGTAATACGGTCTTTAAATTACATATAATATACATATTTGTTAACGGTTCGAAAAATTTACATATTATCAATAATCTTAAAAAAACATAGTTGTATTGATTTGTTGGATAATATAAGGAACTCTGGTACGAGGAGAGATTATGAAGTCTGTGAAATTATTCCGGTAAAAACATTTTTTGCTCAAAAGTTTTTCAGTTTTAGAGGTAGGTAGTCGATTATATAACAAAGTAAACAAATTACACCGTATCATTAACCTAACTAAATTTGAATGTAAAAAGAAAATTTCAAATTGGCTGCTTAAACTTGATTACTAAAAAACAGAACAATTACTGCAGATTGCATCTTAACATACCACGTACGAGTTAACCCACACATACACACATACACACACTCACACATACACACACACACACACACACACACACACAAACACACAAACAATAAGATTAACTGCTTGCGCGTATGCTCTCTCGCAAACGGAAAAAAGTCTCTGCTATATACGTATAATAAAAAAAAAAGAAACATCTAGTTGATCATTCTTATGGGGAGCCGGGAGATCCATAGCACAGGGTATCCTAGTGTGGACTCCCGTCTCCCACAAATTTATGTACCTCTTTGTATTTTTTTTATAAAAAATATATATGTTTTTAAAAGATAAAATATGCAATTGTACAATTTGTGGGAGAAAATAATAAAGGTTTATTTTTATTTTTATTATTTATATTAAGCGAGACTTTACACTAATTATGATAGTTTCCACTCTTTTTTTATAGAATAAGGGTGCAAGCGAGCACACAGTCCACTTGATGGTAAGTAGTTGCTGTGGCTCATAGACATCTACGTATATCCTGTATGCGAATCAAAATGCATATTCGTTGTCAGCTGTGACGACTAAGATGGAATGCCTCTTTTCCAATAAAAAGGGTCTCTGCTTCTCTACACTCACATTACGAAACACTAAAGCATTAAGCTGCTATTTTACGCTGGTTTTCTGTGAGAGCGTGGTCCTTCTCTCGTCTAGCCGACCAATTCGTGCTACAAGTATACAATTAATATAGTTGGAAGAGACATACCACACTGAAAAAGATTGATCTGTCTGTCTGACTGAAATTTCGACTTATTTAAATCCCCATAAGATCTCGTAGACTCCAATAGATGGCGGTAATGACGATGAGAAGTAGATATGCGAGGCCGAGAGGTATGGTACAATGCCAACTATATACCCGCCGAGGGAGTTGATTAAGGCAATTTTTTTTTTTATAAAACTGAATTGGAAAACAAACATATAGTCCACCTGATCGTAGTTCATTGATTCCTGCAACCAGTTTCAAACAAAAAATATTACAGACTAGCCTTTCCCAGCGACATCGCGCACGTGTAATTTAGAGGTTTAATTTTGTTGCGCGGATCCCTAACTATTTTTCTATAATATAAGTATCCTAATTTACTCATTATAACATAAGCTATCTACCAGTGAAAGTCACGTCACAATCGGTCCAGTCGTTCTAGAGATTAGCCGGAACAAAGAGACAGACAAAAATTTAAAAAATTGTGTTTTTGTTATAAGTACTGTATAAACTTTCATATGTAGTAAAAGCTGTTATTTTGACATTACAAACAGACACTTCAATTTTATTTATTTGTATAGGTATGTTGTCACTTCTGAGTAATAAGATGGAGTTCCTCATAGTCTGGTATTATAGTGACTTTATACGTGGTAGCGCTATGCTGCAGCTATATTAGTAGTATAGTTGTAGCACGAATGGTTTGGCTCGATCGGGAAAGGACCATGCTCTCACAGAATACCAGCGAATAGCAGCTAAATGCTGCTATGTTTCGTAATGTGAGTCTAGAGAAACAGAGACCATTTTTATTTATTTTATTTATTTTATTTAACGCCCCTTGCGGGTGGAATTTCGTAAAATCCATTCTGAGCTGACCTCTACTCGGCGAAAGGAATATTCCTACTAAATTTCATGTCTCTAGGCCTTGTGGTTCGAGGGATATCGTTATGAGCCAGTACATAGGTACAAACCTCTTATATATTATAATAATAATTTTGACTTCGACATGTTGTATTTTAGTTTTTGTTGTTTTAATTTTAAATCATTAGTTTTTTATTAAATTTCCATCTCAATCATCGTAATTGCAGTCCTACGTAATTTCATTTCAAAACATAACCTTAAACCTGACCTAAAGAATGTCAGATAAAACTATATTTGGTCACTTGCATCTGTCCACTTCCTACATGTGTTTAGGCTGCCCTACACTTCTCTTAACAGTATGAGAACGCTACTCGAGTACCTTTCTTCTCCATCGATTGTCAGTTCTTTGAGTTAAATTTAATTTATATAATACTCTTACCCGCTGCGGTGTTGCTACTCTTGATTTAGATTTTCTTCTAACAATACAAAATGTGAAAGGAGAATTTTATATTATTTACACGCATTATGATACAATTCGCTAATTCCTAATTCTCTTTAAAGACTACTTTCCCGCAAAGGCACTTCAAATAACAAAAACATTTTTTCCATTTTTCAAAGCTTTACGAATTCAAAAGTTTCTTTGTTGCTTTGTTTTAAATGATTGCTTTATGTTTACAATTTTTTGCCTACGGTGTCTTCCATATTTTGATAAAACATGATTTAAGCTATCTGGGAAAATTTGTCATTTAAATTGCTTTTATTCTTTAACGTTATAATAGGAATTCAAATCCAATAATAAACATATTATTGTTTTTATTTTGTCTTTATAATTATCAAAAAAAAAACATTACAACGCTTTGAACCATTAAATGACTTTGGAATTATTTGTGTTACTATTTTATCGTTACTGAAAATAAGCATTGTGATTTCGCCTCAACTCATGCTGAGTAATTATATTTTGGGGCATGCCTTTGATGTACAAAGCCAAATTTTTTAAATAAAATATGTTATAAATTTGTATTGTATTGTTTAAAATAAAGTGTTTCTTTCTTTCTTTCTATTTTCTTAAAAGTATAGTATAAGCAAAACTTTCGGACTTTCGGTAATTGTACTTGTAATAGAGTTGTTTTTTGTTTGGGGTTTAAATAGAGTAATGAAATACGTCCTCTCTTGAATGCGTTTTATTTGCAACTGTCTATAATAATGTGCACAAATGATAATATGGGTATAACATCCTAAGACATTCACTTCTAAGACATGCGTACGCTAAATTGAATTCTATGCCACAGACATACCGCCCACCAAAGGACGACTGTCCTTTATAAAGAAGTTATAAACATTAAATTTATAAGTAAAATTGTTAATACTATTTTACAAATTTCAGAGGCTAACAAAGGTAATGCACTTAACATAGCATCAAAATATAATACCATTATCATTAAACAATATAGAAGGACTTATCACTGTATTAAAAATAAAAAATTAAACGTATTCTAAACAATAAAGTATGACTTATCACTATCTTATAAAAAATTTAAACATAATGTAAACAATAAAGTGTGTCTTATCATTATTCACTATCTTATGAATAAAATTAAACATGATGAGAGCAATAAAGTATGACTTATAAATCTAAAAATACATAGAACTTAAGATTAACCCTTTTTTTTTACATTTGAGATATTAATTGCTAATTGCGATATACATTTATTTAGATTCAATGGGCAAAGCACACAATTTGGAAATTGAGCGTTTTAATATATTCGTGCCACATTTAACACCATATACTCGGGCTATACCATCCGGTCCTGGGTACTTCTCCATAATCCGACCGAGTAGCCACTTCCCTGGTGGCAAGTTGTCATCTTTGAGGAGAACTATATCACCTATTTCATACTCTGACTCACGTTTTATCCATTTTGTCCTTTCTTGGAGGCGTGACAAATATTCTGTATGCCAACGTTGCCAGAAATCTCTTACTATTTTCTGAGTAAATTGCCATCGTGTGAGTTTACTTGCGTTGATGTCACGTAAGTCTGGACTTGGTGGCAATATGGGAGCTTCACCAATTAAAAAGTGACCCGGTGTTAATGGGTCTATGACGTCTACGTCTTCAGTGTCGATAGGTACCAAAGGGCGGGAGTTAAGGCATGCCTCTATCTGACATAACACTGTCGTCATTTCTTCTTGTGTTAAGTTTCTCGTCATAATTCTTCTAAGGTGGTATTTCGTAGATTTTACACCGGCTTCCCACAAGCCACCGAAGTTGGGGCTATGAGGAGGTATGAAATGCCACTGAGTTCCGTCGAGAGCTAATGTGTCTATCAGATAGCCAGGGATTTCTAAACGTGCCTGCTTCCAGGCGTCTGCTAAATCTTTATTTGCTCCTACGAAATTCCTTCCCTGATCACTCCATATATGCGAACATTTGCCTCTTCTAGCAACAAATCTATGAAAGGCTCCTATGAAAGATTCAGCGGTGAGGTCTCCGACTAATTCTAAATGTATGGCTTTAGTGACCATGCATACAAAAATGGCGATGTATGCTTTGCTTGTCTTGGCGCCTCTCCCCTTAGAATGCAAAACTTGCAATGGACCAGCAAAGTCCACTCCGCTGTGGAGAAACGGTCGGGCTGGAGTCACTCGTGCCTTTGGAAGTTCACCCATGATTTGAGTCCTTATGGTAGCCCTTTGTCTTGCACATACTATACAATTTCGTATATAAAATTTAATCGCATTCTTAGCTCGAATGATCCAGAATCTATTCCTAAGATAGCAGAGCATGAGTTGAATACCACCGTGTAAGGTTTTCTTGTGTGCATCTGCTATTAACAAAGAAGTCAAATGATTGCTTGAGCTCAGTATGATTGGATGTTTTTGTTCTTGTGTTAATTCCGATCTTTGAAGTCTTCCGCCCACCCTAAGTATATTTGGAGTATCAAGAAAAGGGTTTAATGATTTCAAACTACTTCCTTTTTTTACTCTTACTTTCATTCGTATATTTTTTATATCTTCTTCGTATTCTCTTTTCTGAACAATTCTTACACATTTTAATAAAGCATTTTCATATTCTTCAGTTGTAATATTCTTTCTTATTTCGTCAGGTTGTTTCTTACTATTAATAAATCTTGAACAATAAACTACAACTTTTAAGAGTTCTTGTAGTGAATCAAAATTTTCTAATTTAATTCTCTGTTTCTTTGTTTCTGTTTTTAAATTCACCTGAATATTTTTTATTCTTTCTATATCAGTCGGTATCAAATTTGGTCTTGAGTATTCTATGTTTTTCTCCTTCAGCCAAGCAGGTCCTTCCCACCACTGTTTAAATTGAATAAGTTGTTGTAAATTCATTCCTCTTGATCCAATATCTGCTGGATTATCATTCGTTTTTACATGAAACCATTGAGTATTGCAAAGATTGTCTAATATTTCAACTACTCTGTTACTAACGAACGGTTTCCAACGGTTCGGATCTCCGAACAACCATGAGAGTACAACCGACGAATCCGTCCAAGCAAACACTTTGGTAGGTGATAATCTCATAGCTTCTCTTATGTGTGTTAACAACCTTGCCAAAATAACTGCCCCACAAAGCTCAAGCCTAGGTAATGAAAGTGGTTTTACAGGGGCGACTCGTGTTCTCGAGGCAATAATATTCGTTTTAATTTCTCCTTTATTATTTGCTATTCTGCAATATACTACTGCGCAATAGGCTTTATTTGAAGCATCACAAAAACCATGAAGGGTTACGTTTTTGCTGTCTTCACATTCTGTGTCAATCCATCTGGGAATTTCCACGTTTTTTATTTGTTTAAAACTTTTTCTCAATATTAACCACTCTTTCTCTAAATCTTCATCTATTTTATCATTCCAATTAAGGTTTTTTAGCCATAGTTTTTGTATTAAAATTTTTGCTGGAATTATGCTTGCACCAAGCCAACCCAACGGATCAAAAAGGCGTTGAATGTCTTCCTTACTCCTTATTCCTTTTGGTTATTTCTTTTGGTATCGGCGGCAAATTGAGCTGATAATGAAAAATGTCCGTACTCATGTTCCATGCTAGACCGAGTGCTTTAATGGTGCTGTCGCTTTTTATATTAATACTGGCCTTAGAACTTCTCAATTCCGAATTGATTTGATTTAAGAAGTTTTTATTATTAGATGCGAATTTATGTAATTTAAATCCTCCTTTTTTGAGTATAGCTTGAAGCTGCTGACCAAGTTTAATGCAATCCTGTTCTGTCATCGCACCGCTCATACAATCGTCTACATAAAAATCTTCTCTTATTACTTTAGCTGCTTCTGGATAATTTTTTTCTTCATCTTTTGAGAGCTGCACAAGCGTCCTAACCGCAAGATAAGGCGCAGATGAAGACCCAAATGTTACTCTTTTTAAACGATATATTTTTAGTTCTTCTTTGTTACTTTTTCTCCAAAATATTCTTTGACAATCGGTATCTTCTTTCGTCACTAGGATTTGTAAATACATTTTTTGGATATCGGCTATAAAACATACTGGCTTCATACGCCATCTGATTATCAAACTTCTTAAATCTTCTTGTAATTGTGGACCAACGAGTAATTCATCATTCAGTGATTTATTGTTCGCTCCTTTGCAAGATGCGTCAAACACTACTCTGCATTGTGTTGTTTCTTTGTCTTCTCTTATCACTGCATGATGTGAAAGGTATATTGATGGATTATTTCTTTCCTTATGTGGTATTTCTTCTATATATCCTAACTTAATGTATTCTTCAATTACTCTTATATAATCTTGTTTGAGCGTCTTGTTTAGATTTAGCCTTCTTTCTAGTAAATAAAATCTTTTGAATGCAATTTCTTTTGTTTCTCCTATTTCTCCTAAGTAATTAACATTTTTAAATGGTAGTTTAACCATATATCGACCATCTGTTGTTCTTGAATGTGTGGCAGCGTAAATGTTTTCACATAATCTTTCTTCGGCTGTGAAATTTCTTTTTTCTGTAGTCTCTATATCCCACATATTTCTTAACATGTTATCTACGTCAACATGATGATGCATTACTATGATGTCTTCAGAAGATGAAGTATTTGATATTTCTCCAAATAGTATCCATCCGAAGCTGGTTTCTTGTGCACTTGGAGTACCTGGTGGACCCTTGATAACATTGCCTTTTAATATTTCTGTATATACTTCAACTCCTAACAGCGCATCGATTCTTCCTGGTGTGGTAAAATGAGGATCAGCTAAAGTAAGTTCTTTTAAATGTGTCCAATTGTTCATCGGTTCTATTGTCTTACAAGGTAGCTTTGTAGTCAATGGTGTAGACAAAACGTACGCTTTAACATTGAGTTTAAATTGGTTTTCGTAGTTTGATAATACTTCAAAACACACCACATGACTTATTGATGTTTTGGTAGAACCAACTTCATAAATAGTGCCATGTACCCTTTTTCTTTTGAGTTGCAAAAGTTGTATTGCTCTCTCACTAATGAAAGACGCCTGCGAACCTGGATCAATTAGTACTCTCAACATAGTGACATATCCTGTGTCACTTTTAATCGGTATTAAAGCGGTAGCCAGTAAAACATTTTTAGTATTGGACGTAAAGTGTGAAGCTATTGATACATCCGATTCTTCCTTCTCAGTTTCTTCTACATTTGTGTGTAAAGAGTTTAACCCTGGTGAATGTTTGTTTTCTTCTTTATCAAAGGTCACCTCTTTCTTCTTGTAAGAATGTAGAAGTGAATGGTGACGTTTACCACATACACGACATGATGTTTTTTGCTTGCAGTAATATCCTGGATGACCAGTTGACAAGCAGTTGTAACACAAACGCTTTTCTTTTACATACTCACTTCTTTTTTCAGGATCTAATTTGCCAAATTTTTTGCAGTGACATAAGAAATGGTTTTTATTGCATAGAACACATTGAACAGTAGTAGCAGCGGCGCTGATGTGATACGACCTTTGAACCTTCTCCCTTGACGTGGATGTTAATTCAAGTGTATGAATTCTATTTTCCAAAAAACTTACGAAATTATCAAATGTTGGCATATCCTTTGGATGTCCACTGCTTACATAAGTTTCCCAATCTCTGTGTGACTCTTGATCTAGTTTTAGGATTGATATATATATTAATAACGGATCCCAGGAATCTGTCTTAATATCTAAATTATTCAAGCTGTTAATAGATTCTTTTGTATTATCAATTAAAACTTTTAAATGAGCTGGTGATTGGGTATTTATTTTCTTCAAAGAAAATAATTTCTTTAATATTGCATTTACTATTAGTCGCTTATGACTATATCTATTCTTTAAGGCTTTCCACGCTGGTTCGTAATTTTTATCCGTCACTTGAAAATGGTTTATAGTATTTTTAGCTTCGCCTGCTACACACGACTTCAAATAATGTAATTTCTGTACGTCACTAAGGCTATTATTTCTGTCTATTAATGATATAAATGTGTCCTCAAATGATTGCCATTCTTCATATGCACCGAAAAAGGTAGGTAGATTTATTCGGGGCAGCTTTACGTCAACAACGGGTTTTTCACACATCGGCGAAGTTGAAGGGTTTGTATTATTCCCAGTATTGTTTTTGATATCATTTAACATGTCCACCATATCCCCTTTCAAACAAGTAAACACTTCTTCACACTTGTCGTACTCGCTATTTACAAAATGAGATATTTTTTGTCTATCGTTCTTCGATGTTAGTTTCAATAAGTTTTGATGCGCCGCACGATATGATACCCAATACTCTTCAATGCATTGAATCTTTACTTCTAAATATCCCTGTGTTATTCTTGTTTTAGGACATTTTTTAAGATTAATCTGAGTTTTGTTAATTTGATTATAATATTCTTCTAATTGTTCGATTATTTCTTCCACTTTTGACATTATAAATTACTCACAAAAGATATAATTAAGCTTCACAAAATATCACTGCAATGTTCGTTGTTGTTCACTTTTATATTACTTGTTGTTCTTTTTTAGCGCAGGTAAGCGTCCGAGCTTCGGGACGATGAACAAAAGCTGTTTACGACGATGTTAGCTCCTTACTTATCCGGCTCGATTGTGACCACTATGTACTTGTAATAGAGTTGTTTTTTGTTTGGGGTTTAAATAGAGTAATGAAATACGTCCTCTCTTGAATGCGTTTTATTTGCAACTGTCTATAATAATGTGCACATATGATAATATGGGTATAACATCCTAAGACATTCACTTCTAAGACATGCGTACGCTAAATTGAATTCTATGCCACAGACAGTAATTATTGTCTTATGTTGAATGAAATAGGCAACATTTAACTTATGATTTTTTTTGTATCCGAAATATTTTGTTATTGAATATTTTGTTATTTGTATATGATTTTATTGTATTATATTGAAGCAGTTTTAATCAGCCGTGTGGAGTGTTCTAATTCAATTTCCTGTTAAGAGTCGTTAACCAATATTTTATCTATACCTATTCTCGGTTGATCAATGAGTTTTTGGAAACGCAATGAAATTCTAGGGGAGGTATGTATATTATGTAAATTTTATTTATTTTTAATGTCATCGCCTTTTAACACTACAGTACACGCGCTCCTTTTTTTTAGTAGAGTACACGCGTGGCCTACTATAGTAGGCCATATTAAAATCTCAATAACTTGTATATTCCTAATTATCTTATTAAAACAACAAATGGAATAGAAAAGGTTTTTATATTATTTAGTTTTAAAACCTTACTTTTTAGATAAATTTTTAAGAATCAACAATTTAGTAACAATATAAGAAAAAGTAAAAAAAATGGCACTTCTGAGATCAACGTCATTTTGTTTTAACTTAAAACTAAACTTTATTACTATTTTATTTGTTTTCATAGCGTTCAGGATACACCACTGCTTGGTGATCGGGACAAAACCATTTATTGCAAGTCTTGCACCACTTTTTTGTCGACCGATTTCGGGCTCGCGAGCAGAGTGCACATCAACCAACTCATCCTATCTTTTAAGTCAAATCATGTTGAGACTCTTGTGGTTCTTGAATTGTGCTGCCCAAAAGTGCTTCCATCCTGAATTTAAGTTGTAGTGGAAGTGTTTCAATTGATGCACGGCCAATCGAAAGCGGTTTTATCAAAAGGAAGGACAATTCGTGCAAAAAGTTTTTTTTAAAGACATTTTTTCGGCAGAGGTGTTAATTTGGTTGATTACCAGAGCGTTGATTTCAACAATTTTTATCAAATCAAAAAATATTACTAGCAGCCATCGATGGCAATTACGCTGAACAATAACTGCTTGCACATTTTGTTTAGAATGTCTACACCAAATGTGGTGTAGACATTACGAGTAGAGATATATTACGAGAGAGAGTAGATTGAGCACGATTATAAAAAGTAATAATGCATTTTAGACAGAAAGTTGACTACCTTATTTATTTTAGGAACGTAGGACACAAGTGTAGGGTCTTTTCAAAAAGAGAACTTTTGCTAGTGCCAGACTTCGAAGCTTTGAACCCCTTAGGAATTTCGGGTCTATTCTAACCGTACTGGTTTGGAAATTGTATATGCCACAAGAGTGTTATCCCAAAAATCTTTTATGTTACGCCGTCCATTTCACAAAACTTTGTGCCAAATAGTTCCGTTCGTTGACTTATAAGCTGGACCACGCCTTTTGGTTGCTAGTTGTGAGAGTGAAACGTCATCTGAACCTGATGTTTCGTCAGATTGACTCAATCTTTTCTCTTCATATTCACGGAGTTCTGACTCGCGAACTAGGGCCTGCAAGTCTGGTTCTGGCTGAAATTCATCATTTTCACTCTCAATCACTTTTTCATCTTCAGTATCTAGCTCATGAAGCCACCTTTCCACTTGTGAATCATTCATGACATAATCCAATATATAAATCTGTAAAAAATACTAAAATAAGAAAAAATATACATTTAACAAATTGTAGCCAATATATAAATAATAATAATTT